TATGGTTCCTTTGGGTAATACTCTCTTTAGAAGATGTCATCTTTCTTACAGCTCCCATCTCTGAAGTACATATTTAATCATCTCTCTTCAATATTGGTAATAACGTAGCACTAAGATGTGATATTTTTAGATTTATATTATTTAAATGCACTTGGCATATTCTTATATTCTTTTTCATTCACTTAATGATTATAGTCATATATACCATTGCAATATATTATATAAAGTTATCACAAAGTTTATTTAACTGTAGATCTAATTTTTTTCCTTCGTAGTCTTATTAATCTAGCTTAATCTACATTTGGTAGAAATATTTTAGATAATCTCACTCTAGCTAATAAGTTGTTGCATGGTTTTAAATCACATTCTTCTACTAAAGTATTTTAGTAAAAAAATGAGATTAAAAAAGAATGTATTAGAGTGAACACAATTTTCATATATAATAAACTTAGGATAATAAACATTTTATATACATTCATCCAATGATTAGTTACTTGCACTTTTAATATTTTTCTATCATTATTAATCTTGAATTCAGGGTATTCATTCTTTCATGTTCTTATCTCCTAAGGTTATTTACTATCTCTTTTTTAATTTTCTTTTGTTATGGAGAATTTTTAAGTTTTCTCGATGATTACTCTCATAGGCTCGATATTATAAACATAAGGAATAATTCTTATATCTCACATATTCTATATCTTGATGATCTACTAGGTTTTGGCAAAGCTAATAATAATAATTTTTTTTTATTCTCAATCCCTCCACAATTCTTTTAAATAAGTGATCGGACTTTGTATTAATTTTGAGAAGTTCAATTTGCTTTTTTAAATCTATTAAGCCTCATTTAATTAATATTTTCTTTAACTTTGGGTTCTAATCAAAAGAGGCAACCTTGGGATTATCTTAAACTTCATATATCTCCACTAAACTTAAAATAATTGAATCCTCTATAGTTATTAATATGCATCATAAACAGTTAAGTAGAAGGAGACAAAATTTAGTTTTGGTGAGAGACTTCAACTTGACAAATTTATATAAGGAATTACTTTCATTACTAGCTTCAAAGCGACCACTTGCCTAAATAATTAAGAAAGATTATATACAAATTAATGTCCAACTTCCCTTATAATAATATTGCTAATAATAAAGTCATGTGATTTTGTGGAATACCACCATATTACCTCGACATAACTGGGATCTTATTTTTCCCTCCTTGCATACCTTACATGTTCTTAATAAAAATAAATTGATTTGGAGATTTTTTAATTGTTATTCTAATATTGTAAACTTTACTTTTTTTATAGTTATGACTTTATTCAGAATAAACCTTCTAAGAATACATCCTTCATTTGAAAATCTAGTTGTGAAATGGCTAGTAAATTTTGGAAATTATTATATTTATTAAATCTGATATGAGAGTAATTTATCATTATTTCAAGTTCTTTGATTCAATGATAAGTCTCTTATTGAACAGTTTTAAGTATTAAATTTGTTTATTTCTAACATCAACCAAAGTGTTAAAGTTAATGATATCATATTTAATGACACTAGAGGTTTTTATTTTGCCATATCTTCTATTTTTTTCAACAATTTTCAATGAATGATGAAAATTATTATTATTTGTACCCCTCAATAGTAATATTTTTATAGATAAACCAAACTTTTCTTAAGAAAATGTTTATTTGTTTTTATATTTTTATGTGCCTTGGGTAAATTAGAGAGAAAAAATTTTGTTTCAAGGTACTCCCTCAAAAAATAGCATTTTTTTACTTGGAAAGTTATCATCAAAGGCATAAAATTCATAGACTTCTTAATATCTTGAGGTATCATTTCCAATTAAATATCTATTCTTTGGTCTAGCAATATGAATCAAATGCATCTTTATTATTTGATTGCTCGATACACCCTTTAAATACATAAAATAGTGTATAATGAACGTCAATATCTTTTGCATGTGTTATACCCTTTTTCAAATTCTTATCCATGTTGAAGATATCAAGTATAAGATCACAAAAATTAGCTGCAAAAAGCGTTGCTTTCAATCATTAGCCTAAATGGAATTGCAAAATCTTCAATAGATAGAGCTCTCATTTGGATATTCTTATCAAAAGGAGTCACTTTACTATCATATAGAAAAACAAGAAATGAAATTATAATGATTTATTGTTAGATAATATTCACTTACTTTATTTTAGACAACAATGATAACACTTTTTGCTGCTTTTCCATAGTGAAATGCACTACACAGTGTGATTTCTGTAATTTGGGTCTTGACCCATACTGGTTTGTTGGAATACTATATAATTGACTTTATTATGCGGTCAATTGCTTCTTTTGATGAATCTTGGTTGAATATTTTATATATTATTCTAGCTTATTGTAGTTGGCTTTTTCGTTTTGGTTTGCTTGATATCATTTTGGTAGTGCATTTGCTAGCATTGCTCTTATTGATGTAGATTATATTCATAATAATGTTACTGTTGCATTTTTTACTATTTTTCAAATTTTAGGCATGTTCATTGATCGTCTCACTTATTCTTCTTGTGACCTACCTATTTTTATTTTTTTATCCTTGTGACCCATCTATTGCTTATTCCTTATCACAACATTACAACATCTCTTATCTTTAATGTCGGTACTATAATGATCTTAAGCTGACTCGTGGACAATTTTATCTTTATGATGGAGCACCTTAGAGGACCTTATCATTACACTTAATTCCTTGGTTTGAAATAGCCATGAGGAAAGCCCTCTCTTCTTTTACCATGGGGTTCAAGTAGTCAGTTGACTAGTTCCTTGCTGACTTCGACTACAAGTGTAAATTTTACTAGCACCTAAGGATAAAACTTTCATATGTATATGATGTATCTCTTAGGGGTATTTCTAATTTCTCTTTACTTATATCAAATTCTATTTTTAACATAACATTTTGTCCTATTGGAAAGTTTATATTTTGCTCTCTTTGATGAATGAGAATGTAATTATCTAAATTATAAAAATTATTTGCATTCTCATTGATTGACCAATAAAACTGGCCGGATGTGGCTCTCAACCTCCCTGGAAAGAAAAATTATCCACCACTCCCATACCCAATTAACACTCACAAGAAACCATGTGCTGCAAATCATATTATAGTCCAAAATATTACATGTTTGATTATATTTAACGGAATAATTAAAACTTATTAGATTTTTTTTATTTGAATTTTATTTAAATGAAATCTTGCAATAGCAGCTTGATCATACCTAGATATTTTCCAAGAAATATTATCTATAATTTTTATAAATTTGAAACAAGACTCCTCTTAAGCAATTCATTTTCTCTTCAAATGCAACTCATTTATACATTCAAAAAACAAAATAAAATATGCAGTTAAAAATTACTATCTTTTCAGGGCAGCCACTGGAAGCACGTCAATCATCACTCTCAGTTCACATTCAAAAAACAAAATAAAATATGCAGTTAAAAAATAAGTATATATTCCCATATATCATAAAAATTACTATCTTTTCAGGCACTCGAAGCACGTCAATCATCACTCTCAGTTTCAAAACAACCGAAATAATAAAGGGGAACTAATATAAAACAAAATACACATCTTAATGTATAAATAACATGGTATACATATAAATAATTGAAGGGTATTTATGTAAACTTTTCTATAATAAAAAAAAAATAAAAATAAAAACCCTTCTGGAAGACGAAAGAAGTCCACCCTGCAGTCGCCAGGTTCTGCTACGCCTCATCATTAAAGCAAGGAAGGGACGCGGAAGGAAGAGAGAGAACCAAATTGTATCACTTCATCCCTAGCCCTCTAGACCTTTCACTTCTTCGCAGGCCTTCCATGAGATCCATAGCTACAGAGCTTCAGCGTTCACAAGCCATGAGTACATTTTAAAAAGCTAGTTATGTTGGGCATTTTCCTATAGAAAAATGGGCAAAATTGAAAAATGAAATTTGGGTGGGCAATTAGCCCTCTAAGGCATAACATACTTCGCCCCTAATCCATACACGAATAACTATAATCTAAACATATTTTATAGAAGTAACACATTACTAAAAAACTGTGATAACATACTTTTGAAGGCTTTAACCAGCTCGCCTTGACTTTATTTGGTATGTAAACCAATGGCCGACGGTGTGGAAGAATGGAATTAGAAAATTAAGCAACTTTTTTGTGGAAGATTTAATTACATACCACCCAATTTCTATGTAATTACACATCGAACCTCTAAATATTAATTATCTATTTATATATATATATATATATACACACACACGTACATACATGAGCATGAAAAAATATATTTCATTTTTTAAAAAACTAATATAATTAAATATTAATATTAGCAGTATTAAAAAGAATGAATATGATGAGCTAGATAAAAAAAGAAAACATAGAAAAGAGTACCAGAAAAGAATCATTTGCATTATATTAACTCTCTCTATAAAAATATTTTTTTTATAAAATTTACATGAATCATGATTATCATAACATTTATTAGGAACTCTATTATAATAAATTACACTTAAAATAAACGTTCGTCAGGACTTTTAACATAGTTTGTGTTTGAAATATAATGATAGGATGCCACGTGTTAAGTGGACCCCAAAGTAATGCAGTGATATTGACCGGTGTTAAAAATGATGAAGCTCACTTGACACGTGACGCCCCACCATTAGACTCTAAATGCATCGAAAGTCCTGATATAATATTTTTTCCAGGGTTCACTATCAACTAAAGGGGAGCAAACGCAAAATAACGTAAAATCAAAGAATAAAAGAACAAAACAGCAATTTTGGATAAATCCCCCTTAAAAGGAAATTCACGTAAATCAGAAAACAAAATACGTAAAGTAAACAAACTACCGATAAACTCCGAACAACACTTTCATACTATAATCATGCAGTACCAGCCCGCCCTGTCCTCGCAGACGCTAAAGATAGCATTTTTAAAAAAGAGAAACAAACGGACAGACAGCTCAATGTTGCATCTGATTTCAGTACGACGGCGGAGGCGGAAGCCATGAGCCGCCGTCAAATATGTTCTCCGACGAGATATTCGAGCCATAGATAGCCGTTGCACCCAACTCCGCCGCCGCCGCCGCCGAATTGTATTGACGGCAATGCAGTTGATGAAAGCAAAGCTGCTGCTCCTTTCCATCAGACTGCTTCTCGCAGTTTTCTTCACCACTAAAAGCCCCAACAGAATCCGAAACCTCATCCTCCACCGGCAGCTTATGAAACTTGAGTTCCGCAAACGCCGCCACCACCACCACCACCGCGCCCGCTGCCATAAGCGGCCCCAATACCATTCCCCCAACAATCTGCCCCTGTGGCCCGGCAAACGAAATCGACCGGTGTTAGCCGCCGACGGCAGCTCCACAGCCATCGCCGGCGGCAGGAACGTCGCCGAAATCGATAGGACCTCAAATCGCCCGTGGAACACGACCGCCGCCGCACTCGCCGCCGCATCTGGTGGCGCGGACTGCCGTAACGTCACATTGGCCACGGCGCCGTTCGCAGCGAGAACGCAGATCCCGAGTTTTCTCTGCTTCGAGAATCGCGCGAGGCAGGATACGATGTCGAGGCCGCCGGGGATTTCAAGGACGTAAGGATGCATCGCCGGAGATGGATCCGCCGACGCGGTTACTAAGACCGCCGGTTTGGGTCTGTTCTTCGAGCCCAGCGGGCGACCGCGAGCCCGTTTAGCCAACTCGACGCTCGATCCATCGCTGGCTACGGTCGGCGGCGAGCGTAACTTGCTGGGCTTTTTGGTTCGTTTTTCCATGATTATATCGCTGTTTGCTTCATGGGATAGAGGTGCTTCGTGATTCATGATCTCGGAGCCGTTGAGAATCATGAACGGATGATGTGGAAAGCAAGAGAAGAGTTTCGGCGAAGAGGAAAAGGGTTAGGGTTTTGGAGGAGACGTGCAGAAAGCTAGGGGAGGGTTTAAGGGCGTTTGTGCTCAATGCTCTCTGCTACTGCTATGGTTTAAGATTTTAAATATATTTACTCACAGAAGTTTAAATTAAGAAAGTTTTACAAATATACCACGCTATCTATTACTTAAATTAAGAAAGTTACACTCTAAATTCTGGGCTGCAATTAAGTATCCGAAATTAAAAAGGTAAGTATTTATATAGGCAACAGATAATGCTCTTGTATTTATATATCTCACAATGAAATTTCTATATTTACATATGTACTATTCTGTTGTCTTAGATATATACAGAAAAATATATGTACTTAACTTTTATGAAGTGATAGTAATCTTTTTTAAAATGATATTAAATATTTGAGTTTGTGGGAGACATGTAAATACATAAAATCATCTGATATTTATCTAAATGGCCCTTAAAAATTATATTTATCTAAATTTTATTTTTTATGTTAAAGAATTTTCAAAATGTTATTTACCCTATCTAATTTTTTTTTTTAAATCATGTAAATACACTATTCTTATATTCTTATGTATTGATATATCTAATGATTAAAATTAAATAAATTTATTTCATGTTAAAAAATAGTGATGATGATATTTTTGATATAGTATTAAGTATGTTTTGAGTGTAACATGAATTTAAGTTAAATAGTATTTTTTAAATTTAGTAAATTCATATCTATCAAATCTAAATGTTGTTTGATTCAATTAATATTAAATACACTTAATTTCCTCTGACGTGTTTGGCACATTAATTTCTAATACAGAGTGTGTTTTATTTCATAAGTTAAATCCATTAAGGCCCCGTTTGGGACAGCTTATTTGGTGCAGTGGCGTTTTGAAAACACGTCTAAACTGTTTTTTTGGTGCAGTGGCGTTTTGAAAACACGTCTAAACTATTTTGGTAAAATGCGTTTTGACAGCTTATGTGTTTTCAAAATGCAGAAAACAGCGTTTTCACACCGCACATATCTAGCTGCAGTGACAGCTTATTGGCAACGGTCTGATTTTTCCAAGAAAATAAAAATTTATAATAGCCACCGCACATAGTTTATCAGCAAATAGTGCACATAGTTTATCAGCAAATTATTTTTAATCAGCTTATCAACAGATTATTCAATAAGCTGCAGCTGCCCCCAAACAGACCTTAAATTCACCAAAAAAATTAGATTTAATAAATTCAGATTTAGATCAGAAAAATTAGATTTAGAAGGGCAGTGAATTTATCTTCCCAATTTTTCACGTTTAGCGGGTTAAAAATATGCTACCAAACATCATAAATATGTGTTTAATTATTGTGTATGTATATAAGTATTGTGTGATATATATATGTAATTGCCCAAATTTTTTTTTTCTAATTTAAAATGAATATTGATTTTGGATGAAAGAGCCGTTAGAATAAAAAATTATTTTTCTAAATCATAACTTTGAATCTCATATTTTATTATTTATTATTCAATAATAATTTAAAAAAAAAGGATTCAAAGCTTTATACAGAATATGTATACAAGAAAAATGGCGTGATCGAAGACTTCAGTTAATTAAGTTCGTTATTTTTAAGGAAGGAATTGCGACGTTAATATTGAAACTTTGATTATGTGATCTAAATGTAGTGATTTTAAAAATTATGCTTCGTGCGATTGTTTTTATTTAGCCAGTAGGGAAGATGAGATGTTAAGCCCCCATGCTGGCTCACGGAAATAAAATTTGATATGAAAGTTCAAAATAAAATATATAAGAAATGATTATAAATTTGGATACGGTGTGCTTCGGTTTAGAGCTCTCGGATATAGAGAGAGAGAGGAGAGAGAAAAAGGTAGAGAGAATGTGTTTTCTTGTAATCATCGAGGTGATCGATGGGCGTAATTTTTCAAGCTAATAAAATCTTCTGCAGCTTCCACATAAATGTGTGGGTTTCATTGTTTTCTATTTTATAATATTTCTGGATCCAACTTTTCACTTTATCGCCAATTTTTCGAAAGTGAGGCGGGGAATCTCTTCTCCCTGCTCCTCTTACTCCTCCATTGATGATCTCTGCAAAAGGCGGGGAATCTCTTCTCCCTGCTCCTCTTACTCCATTCATGATTTCTGCAAGCGAAGCCGAGGTGACAGCGTAACTCACTTCTGCTGCTCTGCGATTCAAATCCATTCGCGATTTCTGCAAGCGAAGCCGAAGAAATCACTTCTTCTTGCTCTGCACTCCATTCACGATTCCTGCTAGCAAAGCCCGGAGTGAGTTTTTTGAAAGTTATTTAAATATATGCCAGGGGCAGTGCATTCAGTTTTTTGCTTAATTTTTTTTCACTTTATGTTAATTATGTTTAAATTTGATGGATATTTATAATTATACTGATTATGGATCAGCATAACTAATAGGTATTTATAGAGCTCACACCTAAACAAGATTTATTATAAAGAAAGAGGGCATTTACATGCGTAACACACAATTCTTATGTATTTACATATCTCAAGCCTAAACATTCATATTTAACATTGAACACAACCTGATGGTTTGACATAAAAGGAGTTGACCTTCAAAACAAATTTGCTACTAATTTATAGAACTACAAGTACGGTTGTAAATGAACCAATGCACTTGATGAACAACTCAAACTTGGTTGATTACCAAATTAGTAAATAAACAAACTTGAATAATGTTTAAAAGCTCGGAGCTTAAATGAACAAAACATGAATATAGTCAAACATTTTTATTTATATTTACAGATAAATTCATTTGTTGTTCAACAAGTAACTCGTTAATAATTTAATATTAAGCTCGATGATAACTCATATCATATATGATAGATTATTTAAATAAAATGCAATAAACTAGTATTTATTTAAATATAAATTGAATCTGCGGTGCTCAGGTGTCGGGCTCTCTGTATGCTCAAAAAGCTAGGGCGTCTAGGCGCTCAGAACTTAGCTCCAAGGCGTTCAACTGCAATAATATATTAAGCTTGATTGTAAACCATATCATATATGATGTATTATTTAAATAAAATGCACTAAATTAGAATTTATTTAATTATAGATTTAATCTGTGGTGCTTAAGTGTCAGGCTCTTTGTCTGTTCGAAAAGCTTAGGCGCCTAGGCATGCCCAGAACCTAGCTCCAAGGAGTTCAACGGCAATACCTTGGCGCCAAGCGCCAAACCACAATCAACACCTGCTCCATTTGGTCTCATTTTACTCTGATTTAGTCCAAATTCGTTCCAATGCTCCTACATGTTATACGTACATCATAAACATAAAAATATATTTCATTAAAATGCAATTTTATTTAAAAACATGTGTAAAATAAAGAAGAAGTTAAGTATATCCAAAGACATATCATACCTCCAACAACTCCTTCTGAAAATGAGGCATAAAAGCAGGCAAGGTCTCTCTCTGCTCCTAGTGAAACTGTAGCAGTGTATGTGAACTTTCTATAAGACTTATACTCACTAGAACTTTCCTATGAACATCCTCTTGAATTATACAAAAGAGAAGATAACTCCTAATTGCAAGCTTTTCAACCATCAGATCATAAACTCTTTCAAAGTCCTGAAAAAGAGTTGACACTTTATTGCATCGTTTATCCTCGAAAAATATATTGTGGACTCGAGTGAGGCTACCAGCCAGAATGATCTGACCACCCTTAATAGGAATCCATGTATGGGATCTTGAAGTACTCGAGAGCTTCAGCCTTAAAGATTTCCTTAAAGAAAGCATTCCCTAGCTGGCATGACGTCAACATTTCTGAACGCCTTAGCTTACTGCTATCTGATGGGACCAAACCTGCATATCAGGGTAGTATGAATCATCTTTTATATAAGCAATGGTGAGGGGGTTCTTGCTTTGACAACGGGTTGACACCTTCGACACGATAAAGCTATCGGTCGATGATGGCACAATTGTCTGGGCAAGGCTTTCTTTAATCATCTCCATCACCTACTCCTTATGTTTGTTGATTATTGGGTTACAAATTCTTTGGTACAATCAATATTGCTCATGATTTCTCTATCACAAGATTGTTCTCTTTATGTGGCTTATCTTATTTTTTTATGGCATGATCTCTGTTCATCACTTCTTTTCAAGGTGTTGAATCCCTTTTTTTTGTGAATCGCACTCAAGGAATAGAGTGTAAGGAAATAGAAAAGAGAGAAGAGCGGGAGAGAGACTTGGGTTGCTGAGTTATTATGAGGATGAGCAGGCTTTCATTAATTGGATGTTTTCAGATCCAACAGATTGGAATCTATTTTACAGTTAATACCCCTTTTTATACGTGTGGACTTCTCTAAGAAAATATATATACATGTTTTCATTATGCATAAGTCTCTAAAATTACATAGTTATCTTGTTTACTATATCATCAATAAAGTCAAGATCTTCTAAAAAATCCTCTTTCAGATCTAAGAGATCAGAATTTGTTTTACATTTAAAACCTCCTTTTTATAGATGTGGGTTTATCTTAAAAAGATAAATACACACTTTCATTATGCATAAGTCTCTAGGGTTACATGGTTATTTTTTTATTATATCATAAAGAAAGTGAAGATTACCTAAAGAAATCTTTTTTGAAAGTTAGCTAGTTTTGATGAACAAGGGTCTATTTGGGGCAGCTGCATATTATATATAATCTGCTGATAAGCGGATTATCCTGACAATCTGATAATCTGCAGATTATCAGGATAAGCTTGTTTGTTGTTTGAGGGAGCTTATGCAGAACAACTTATTGGCACTTGTTGCTGGATAATTGACAATTTTGCCCCTATTTAGTGAAGTTGTTTGCAACAGAACTGAATGAGCACAGAAATAGATAAAACAAAAGCCACAAATCATCACAGATCAATTCAAAAAGATAACATAGAGTGCTCACACTTTCGTGAATATCAGAAGAAATAAAATAAAGATAAATACAATTACAACTACAATGAGAAATATTAAAATATTTAATTTAAAACTCTGACTATGTCTGTCCTCAGTTGCACTATCACCCTGGGAAATCATCATATTCCGATCACTGTTGGTAGTGTA